GTTAGTGGGTGAGGCATGCTTTCAGTCAGCTAGATTCTTGAGAGATATTCACAGAGATACCTGCATATACATACCCATACACATCCAGTGTCTTGACCTACATGGAATACCATCATATACAAAGCTAGTTTAAATACATTTAGTGTTTTAAGACTTCAACAGAGCTAAGTTACAGCAAACAAGTATTTGACATTTGTATTTAGAGTCTTCTCTCTGTACCAGTGAGTCAATAGGTATATTAGTTTATGGAGGCTGTCACTGAGAAATGGCTCATTGCATAGGCACAGCTGACTAAATAAAGAAAACATTTGAGCATCTGGACTTACCTGTGCTGGTTTGCCCATTGCTTTTGATAACTGCTGGGTGAGCTCCCCTGTGAAAGACTCTGGAACTTTATCCTTGCTTATATTTGTGTTAACAATGAATTTAGGCATCTTTGGATCACAAGAGGGTTTTCTTTCAGCTCACCTTGTTCACAGCTTTGTTTCTAACCCACCTGCAAGATGACTTACCCCACTGTGCGAGTAAGCACCTCAGGAGCCTTTAAAAAGTCATTGGTACCTTCCTCAGGTGCACCTGGAGGGATGGGAGTGCCTCGGGAGAGAGGAGGCTGCATGTGTCATCTGCAGGCTGCTAATGCAGATAGTCGATGTACAGCTTTCCTAGGAGGGAAAGCTGGCTTTTTGTGCTCTGGAAATCAAAGCATCCAAAATGACACTTCATGTTTGGATACAGCCTGATAATGAAAACCAGTGAAAGAGCAAGTGTTTCAGGGACTGTTTGAAAGTGGGAGAGTTATAATGTGCCTCTTTATGCAAGTCTTATAATTATTTAAAAAATTTATATGGATGCCTCAGTTGTGAGGTCTGGAACTCTTTCTGTGGAATAGACCATAACAGAAAAACTCCAGTAGCGCATGTTGTGGAGACCTTCCCTGAACTGTGACTAAGTCATGACAAAGATGCCTTAAAATCAGGGTCTTGGTTTTCCACTGTGGTGAGCACTGGATTCTACATACTCAGAGGAGGCTTGTTTTCAACTTGCTCCTTTGTTGTGCAAATAACAGTCAACAGGATCTCCTGACAGATAGGAAAACCACAGGCTTTCTAAAATGAGCGGGTTTTATCCAGACTGGAGTATGTGGCAGAGCTGGGATCAGTTCTCTTTGCTACCTAGTAGAGTCTTACGTGAGAGAAGTGATTTAGAGGGGTCATGTGGCATTTGGTAGGGGGTGTTCGCAGTAAGATGTGTGTGGGGAAAGCAGGTTGAAAATGCTGATGGGGATAAAATAAATGGTTTGTTAATCTCTCCATGTTAAAGGTGATGGGTGTCTTTATGCCCAGTAGTTTCTGTGAGTTAAGAGCTTTTCTACTCACTCCATTCCCCAGCCTGCAGAAAAGAGGGAGGGCTTTCTAAATGCATGTGCTGCAACGGTGTAATGTAAACAAATACTTTTAAACGGTGAAAACCTCCGTATGAACATGCTTAACTTGATTGTGTGGTGTATGTTGATTTTAAGTCAGTTCCTTCCCTCTAGCACCCTTGCAGTAAAAAGCCAGCAAATAATAAGTCAGGAGATTAATTACTATGTGCCAGTGTTCATCTACAGTCCATGTTAGTGGATTGCATCTCCTGTATCCAAAGCATTCTGAAAATAATGAAAATCCTGAAAAAAAAAACCAGAAATAAAGTATATTTGTATGAACAGAATTTTCAGTGCATGTTTCCTATGTCAAAGCATTAAAAACAAACTCAAATGACAGCTCCATCCTTAAGGAGAGGAACTGCTGTTTGTAATATTGATTAATCTTTTCTTCAGTGATTAGTTGAAAGCAGGTGGCATGATTCAAAATATTTAGTCACAAATCATACTATAATTGTTAGTGGTCACTTGGAAAAACTTAGACTGTATTTCCAATGAACCTATTTTTTCTGCTGGGTACAATAACCGCTACTTATTTGCAGCTTGCTTACATAACAAGAAAAACATTTCCAAAACAAACTCTTCTCTGAAAACATCTGATGTAATTCCCTGAAGCTTATGTACCAGGTTGGAAATCAGATCCTTAGACACCACAGATGCTCTTGGGAGTGTGTTTTATTTTATAGGAGCCACTTTACTTCTTTTGCATACAATAATAACTCTGTTTGGCAGGTCCTTCTCCCTTCCTAGAGTTACTAGGATGTTCTCCACTGAGATTTCCATTACACCTCCAGAAGGATTGTTGCACAGTACAATTTAACTTTCAATATTTTTTTCCTGTTACCATGGCTGGAACCTTTTCTCCTAATTTACTGTGCTAAGTTTTGAACCCATATTTGCTTGGGTCACGCTAAACCACGTATCTAGCTTTTCCTCTATCAGCCTGGTAGGCAAATATTTTAGACTTCTGTGTTTCCCCAGCCTCATGATGGATGATCATTCAGCCTTCTTAATCCTTCCTTCCCTTGGTTTGTCTTCTTAAATTATTTCACTTGTTCTTTCATATTTCTGGTAGTCTTCTCTGAACTATTTGTCAGCTGTTTCCCGATTCTGAGGTGCTTAGAGCTAGTGAGGTCTTGTTTAGGAAAGCTCAATAACAAACTGTTCAGGTATCTGTGGCATTGAGCAGGACTCTTGGGAACAAGTGAGACCAACTGAGGCCCCGGGTTGTGGATCCAGGGCTGTGAGCAGAGCCTGTATGTATGTTCTTGTAGCAGGATTTGGGCCCTATGGGCTGTTAGCAAAATGTTTTAAAACTTCAAAAGGTAGACTAGCATAAAAGGGTTTTTTTTAAGAAAAAATCAGTAGATCTTAAAACTGAGTGATGAAATTTCCTGTGAAAATATTTAGATAACAACAAGAAATAAAACACTAGCATAATGAATTTCGTATCTATATTAAAAAAAAGAAAAAAGGAATAAGACACAGAAGAGCTTGCAGTCTGTTTTTAATGTTTCCTGTTTAGTTCTATTGCAACAATGTTTCCTGTCTTTTCTAAGAGATGCAAATTTCTCCTCTGAACATTCAGAGTTTGGTGCAGAACAACTGTTCCTTAGGAAAGTTATTTTCAGTGACTGAGGTTTCTTTTTTTCCAAAATTCAGTTTGTTGAACTCTGCTTTTATTTCCATGATTGACTTTCCCTTGGTCTCGGGGAGATACAGGTAGATGAAAATTGCTGATAAAGCAAGGATTCCCAAAAAGATAAGGAAGCAGAAGGGTCCAAGGTTATCCTGCAAGCAGAAATGGGAGACTCTGTAAGGAAAATAAGAATCTCATTTCTATTTCCTGCCCTCAGGTGCAAGTCTATGTCTTAGTAATTAAATTTCAAAAGTGTGCTCAATACACCAACCAGGACAGGTATCAAACCAGGAGTTTCTACTGGCCACGTTTGACCTGAGTCCAATTGCTACTCCTCTGACAGGCCTGGGGGATTCCTGAGCAGGTTCGATGTTTGGACAGAGCTCTAAGCTTTGCATGTCATTGCAATTTATTGCTATTTTTTTGCTCCCTGTCAGCATTCAGAAGTGGATTAGCCTGGACGGAGGGATCCAGTTAGAGTCACTTACAACAATCAATGGAAAAATCATCCCAAGTACAAACAGTCCCATCCAGTTGATGCAGCCAACAATCAGAAAGGCTGATGGTCTGAATGACTGGCTGAAGATTTCAACCATGATAGATATAGTGGCTCCAGCTGTAAAAGAAAAGCAAAACACAAACCAGGTATACTTGTTTCCTTGCTCTTAATGAAGATCCTCACAATGGCAGTGGTAGAAAATGGCAGACAGGCAGAATAGGTGGCCTGCTGGCAGGTGGCCTCTGCTATGGTGAAAGACCTTGATTCCAGAAAGGGACTACAGCTGTTAATTTAGGTTTCTTTCGTACATACTGGAATCCTTTTTCTGGTGCCAGTGGATCTGCGCAGTTCCATATTGCACTGGTATTAGCGCAGCAATTTATAAAACCAACTCCCACTTTGGCTCCTGTGGTCAGTTCCACCTGAAGCATGTTGGAAGGCATAAAGCTTAACTCGCTAAGTTAACGAAGGGTATGATTACTATGATGTACCCGGCAATGCCTAGAATCCTGTTTTTAGCTGAGTATTTTAAAAATTGTTCTGAATTGTCAGTCTCAAACCCTCTAGAGAAGATGGTACTGTATTTTAAATTATTTAGATCCTGTGATCAGCAATAAAATTTGAGGTGTCTGTATCCTTTTCCTGTCTCCCACTTGTACATATCTGCCCTTCCCTCCTTAATTTCCAGAACTTTTTACCATGGGACTAGACTGTTCTTCCTCTGCCAATAGTGTCACCGACCAATATGATACAAAATTTCCTCCCAGCATTGCCATTGATGTACTCACATGGTCCAATTCCATAGAAGATAACGAATAGGAAGATCAAGATAACACTGAAGTAGTGCATCCAGAAAAACTGATGCTAAAAGTGAGAAACCAGTGATATCAAACTGTTAGACACATGACAGAATAGCAGAGCTCTGTATTTTGTGCCACGGACTCAAGTTTTTGTACATATCCTGTGAGGCAAGATCAGAAAGGTGGGCTGATGCTGGGTAAGTAGCCAGCTGCTGCCTCTTTACCTGCAGTGACAGGGTCATGGTAAGGAGTGCTAGCACAGAACACATCAGCGTGTATCCTCCCCATAGCAGCACCTTCCTCCCAAATCGGTCTATAAGGGTGCTCTGAAAAGCAGAAAACATGGGTCATAAATCCCAGTTCTCAAATGAAATAATTCCTCTCCTCTCCATGTGTTCTTCTCAGAAGACTTACTTGAATAATAGTCAGAAATCAACGTCATTTGAATGACAGCATAATGAATTTCATCAGCTTCTTCAAAGCTAATTTATTATTAATTAATTTATTAGTCAACCCTAGGCTGTTGTTAGGCAGTTCCCTTTCTTGCGTGCTAGTATATATGGAATTGTTCACACATACATACACACATCTAATCCAGAACATCAGAAAATTATTTTGCAGAATGAAAATAAAGTTTAAGACATACAATCGTGCAAATAATTTGGGAAAAAAGCTCACTTTTATCCTGCATGTGGCTTTGCAGAAGCAGGAAGATGTGTCTTAGGTTATGCAAATCTTCCCTGAGCCCAGTTATAAGTAAGGAAAAGTACAATTGTTGACCACATTAAATTTTTACTTCAAACTCAAGTCTGAAGAGACTTACACACAGTATAGAGGATAAGCATTCACACAACCCAACTCCCAGGGACACGTATGGGATAAGGTATTCTTCAAACTTGGCTGTGTGGAATACTTCAAAAGAATAGAAGTATATCTGAAAAATGCAGAGAGGAAATGCACCTGTGAAAAAAGTGTTGCAACTGTGATGCAATTCTAAGCTGGTGTAACAGCCAGTAACTTAGAGGGGTTTGTAACGCTGCCTAGTGTTGTCTTAAAAGAATAAGTTCTGGGGATAAAGAGAGCACTCAACTGCATTGATTCCACAGAGCTGCAAGGTGGTCATGACAGTCATCAAAATGTAAAGCTGCCAGCGCAAAGATCGCTCTTTTATTACTTCAAGGACACGCAAGGTTTTCGTGCTTGTCATTGCAACCTTCTCCTTCATAATGTCATCAATTTCTGCTTGATGGTCTCCTTCCCCCCAGAGCTTCCTGATGGCTGTTGGGGAGAAAGAGGGGAGGGGATTATTCTACCAGTATAGCTCCATCACGGGTGGTTACGTTAAACCCTTTAATCTGCCTGTCCATTGGCGTAGGTGATGGTGTTGGTGCTGTCTGCTTCTGTCATCTGGTTGGGTCGGGGGCAGTAGGCGAATGGAAGAATTTTGTTTCTTTGGTTGTCAGTATAGCGTATCTTTCCAATGTTGAGTTGACTTAATTGTAAACAAAGTAAAGCACATTTTATTTAATAAAAAATGAACTACCTAAACTGTTTCCTTTAAAGAAATAAAGTAGTTCCCACCCAGTGGGAAATGTTAGATGTGCTAATATATATCTATCTTTCTTGTCTTAACTGATTAAATTAGACTGAGTGAGGCCCCAGGTTAATACAGATGTATTGCCGTAGGTACCTCAACTGTTTTATGTAGAACTGCCTTTGCTGTTACTCCATGGCGCTGCACTGTGCTGCACAGCTCTGCCCTGCTTTCTTTTCTACAGAGGCTGTCACTCTAACATATCAAATGAAGTAAATGAGGAAAGTAGACACTCTACCTTTCCTGCAGGCTTCCTCATTACCCTTCTGTATCAGGAGGTAGGATGGTGAATCAGGGAAAAATGGGAGGGTAACCAGTTGAACCAGTGCTGACAGTCCACTAGATGCTAACAACCATGGCCACAAAGCTTCGCTTCCTAAAATCTCCCTGGAAAGTGTATGTGAAACAAAATTATGTTGAAATAATGGAATGAATGTTCAGAAAGTTTTTCTGAGTGATGAGGATTGCTCAAATTCCATTCAAGGGTGTGGTGGAGCAAACACCTGAATTGATAATTCAGCAAATTTCACAAATTTTGCTATTTTTATTTCTGACAATTCTAAAGAAATTATTTGGCATTTTGAAAAACTTTCTAAATATCATTAGGATCCAATATAAAGTCTATAGAACTGATGAGACTGATTTGACCACTGGTTGACCACAGGACCAAAACATCTTGCCAAGAATTTTCATGTAAGTATAGTAAATTTTGAAGGGGAAATCACCTAGTAGGAAGGGTGTGGAAATAAGAAGAAATCAGATTATGAGTAATTAATTTTTCTTTCTCCTATATTTAAAACTATATGTTTGCCTCAAATATGATCAAAACTTTTCTTCTGGTATAAGCTAAGGCCTGTTTGGGGACAACGAGAAGGTTTCTCAGTCACTGATTAGGTGAGAGGGTAAGGTTATAGAAAGATTTCTACTGCTTTCAGTGTAACCTGATAGAAAGATTGGAGTATTTACCGTAGTCCAATGACCTGTCCTGTGAGTTTTCCCAGTGTCAGAAAAACAGCAACTGTGGAGTTGGTAAATCCACGCAGCTTCTTGGGTGAAATCTCTCCTACATACTGAGGATGTATATTCAGAGAAAAACCTTTAAGATAGAAGAGGATAAATGACTGTTAAAATACTGAGAAAAGCTAAACTTTCTGACTCCATCCCCTCTTACCTTGTTTCCATTCACTCTGGTGTTTGGATTAAAATTTCTTGCAAAAGGGATGATGTCATTCACTTTTATTAAGTGTCTAGTATATTTGCTTTAAAAATCATTCTTCAAGAATGGCAATACCTGTACAGACAATCCTGGGACAGCAAGGATGCTTGCTCTCCACAGTGGCATGAGCACATACCTGTACCAATGCCATAGAGAAAGCGTCCGATCAGAATCATCTCGAAGGATTTGGCTGTTTTACTGAAGGCCATGAAAAGTGCAGCTACCAGCATGATCAGGTTGGTGCACATTTGGCACTTTTTTCTGAAAAAAAGGCCCACGAGAATTTAGTGTGAAATGAGAACGTCTTGTACTCTTTTGACTAACCTTGCTGTGACAGGAAGC